CCCTAAAGATTCCCAGCCAGAGAAACCCCCAGGAGCAGGTGCCTCTGTCACTAGAAGGGTCACCAGACGTTGGAGTCTCCTTGACGGCCCCGCATGGAGGAGGCGGAGTGGACCTGAAGGCAGGGGGTTTGGGGAGGGTGATCAAGGCATTACAAGCGTAGCAGTGATTCATCATCCACGGGCATTCTAGAGCTCCGCACTGAGTTGTTCCTAATCCCCCGGGGACCCCACTTGACATTGGCCTTTCCCTCTTTCTGCAGATTCTCCCAAACCACGTTGTTGAAACTTATCACTTGACCTTTCTTCTGATGACGTCTAAAGTTGATTCAGTTTTTTAATATTTTCTGCCTTCTTTTGTTTGAGGTCTTTCTCTCTTTTGTCCTCCTTTGGGGTTTTCTTGGCTTTATTTATAGCCTGTGTTTTGCATGATTTTCTGGTTAAGAAACCCAGCATAGGAAATTTTACAGAGACAGTAACTGATTTAAAAGTAATTACCTAGACCATGGCAGGGGCAGAAGGGCCTGTGGGAATGGGGAGCTAACAATGAGAAGGAGAAAGAAAAGAATGTTCTGAAATTGTGATGATGATTGTACAACTCTTCTTAATAGGATTGAACCGTTAAATCGTATGCTGTGTCAATGACATGGCAATAAATCTTGTAAAACAGAGGTTGTGGGATGGATGACTGAAAATGAGCGTCATGAAAAGTAGAAGACATACACAACTCACCAAATTTGTCACTCAAATGCCAAGAAGCACAGGGCAAAAAATGCTCACGACCACCAGCCATCTGGGAATTGCAGACGAAAACAACAGTGAGTTAAATCACGGTACACTCACAAAGATAGTCACAAGACACAAACAAATGGTGGGGAGGATATGAAGAGACTGGAACAATTACACACTACTGGTGGGCTTGTAAGCATGTGTAGCTATTGTTAAAATCCTCCTCTTCAGAGGTAACCCTTTGGTGAGCGAATCTTTAAATGGGTGAGGACACGCCTGCAAAGATGGAGCTGAAAAGATAAGCCCCACCCAGCGTCGTGAGTGCTCAGGATCTTCAATGGTAAAGAGACTACACTAGGGCACTGTTGATAGATGTGACATAAAAAGGAACCCTTTGTTGTTGTTGTTGTTTTGAATTTTGAATAAGTGGCTTGTGTCAGAAAGTGAAAAAAGTTTGCAGCCACGAAGTCACTCTCCTCTCTACACTGAACGTTAAAGGGAACCTGTGGGCAGGCTGAAATGCTTGCTGGGTGTCTACCTGGATCCACTTGTTGAGTGGAAGTGAGATAAATGCAGCCATAAAGAGATGGGTTGACGGTTGCCACTGACAACCGTGGACCTGGTTCACAGGGACTAGAGGAGAAGACAAGCCGGGTTGACTGGTCTGAACTTATCACTTAGCCCCAATTGGGCTGGGGTTTTTGAGAATTTGTCACGCTGCCCACAGTCTAAATACAAGGCGACCAATGGGCACCCTGGTGAGCCTAAGAAAGGCGGCCCACACTGAGTAGACAAGAACCTGACCAGATGAAGGATCATTTTTTGAGCCTGTGAATTGGTGCCTATTGCTGCTGACTTTATGGACGGCCTGCCCTGATGTGACTCTGCTTACAGATGCAGACTCACAGTGTTCCCACTGGAATGTGGATTCTTTACATCAAAGAACGTGCTTGACTCCTCACAGCACTGGGTTGATAAAAGTGGGCAGCATAGAAATTGGATACCCACAATGGGGTGGATAAAGGAATGAAGTTGCTGGCGTACAAACATCCACAGGTGGGGGAATATATTAATAGGATTTTAGGATTAGGGTGTAGGTGTTCACTTAACTACAACTGTAGGCATAGAATACTGTTGTGTTGTTCAATTATACTATACTATGTTTCAATGAGGCTGGCACCTATTTAATTGTATGCATTTTAGTTGTATCCCCTTAGGTACAGGTATGATTTTATTATTGTTTTGTGTAATATTATAAATGGCTAAGGAGTTGTGTAAAAGTGTCAAGTTGACAAAGCGTGGTCTTGTGGCAGTTACATGATCTCCTTTCAACTTGACCGAAGGGGTTGAGTCTAGCCTATCAAGTATGTCATAGCTCATCATGCTTCTGTGTGGGCATGGCTTTCTCCTGAGGATTCTGGGAACTTCTGTCTTCCTCCCTGGAAGCGTGTCACACACTCTCCCTGGGAGACAAGCCAGATGTAGCAACACTGATGTAGTTAGAAACCTGAAGCTGGAGGAACCTCATAGAGACCCAGGCCAGTGACCAGATGCTTCCACTACCGCTACATCCATGAGATTTTCCACCAAGTAGCCTGTGACCTTCCTGTATTTGGTGTCATTACATGTGTTGTGTGAGTCTTAAGAGAAACTCATAGACTGGTATCAGGCATACGAACTAATATCAGATTTTATGGACTTCAATTCGGTTGGGATGTTTTCTCAATAAACATTTGCTCTTTTATATAAAGCTCTTTCTTTTACACATGAGAGGCAATGAATTTGTTTCTCTAGTCTACCCAGACTTACATACCACCTGAGGTTCTGTAGGTGTCTGAGTTCTGGTCCCCTCACCTGTTACAGCTTTACAGGTCATAATCATTGGAGATGGGCTCAAAGAGAAAGCCCACCTCCTCCTAAAACGATAGTAAATAGCCTGCTCCTGATGAACGTAAGCTACGCTCTGCAGGATGGCAGCTGGCAAAGCCAAACACCTCTGTGCTACTGCCTGCGTTGGATGCCCCCTATTTGCATGACCACCGACCAGTCCTCTCTGCACTACACTGGCCAGTCCAATAGCACGTAGCCTTGTCTACCTACATGTGTTTCCTTAGGAGCAGGCCCTGCTCCAAGGTGCTGCTACAGACTGCGCCCCTGGGTCCAAACACTGAGCTTCTCCTTCCGACTGCTAGCTCCCCTACAGGACAACGTGGAACTGCCCCTGTGCGTTTCGGAGCACGTATGTCTTTACAGGAGAAAACCTCCTCTCTGCCCCATCATGTGGCAAGTGGTTTCCACCTGCCGCCCTTGCTACTGGCAGCCCAATGTGTAAGCCCTATGTCACCTACAATGGGCATGGGCCACTCTAGGAGGGGTGCAGTATCACAGCCGGCGGCCGAGAAGACAGAAAATTATCCAAAGGTGCTTACTTTGTGAACCGTTTGCCCGAGGAGAAAGGCACAGAGCAACATGCAGCGAGTCGTTTCACCCAAGGGGGCTAGCTTCTGTTTTTCCAGAGGGAGGCGCCCATGTCTTTTAGGTCTTAAGGGGGTACGAAATTCCTGCTAGGTTCTAGCAGTGTGGGGGACGTGTGATGCTACCTGGACTCCATGGGTGGGGCACGGGGACGCACTCGGAGCTTGCTAAGGTCGGGGTCAAGGTCGCCCGGTTTCACGAGCGCTACTGCTGCCTTTTGGGTTGCACTGTCAGGCCACCATCTTCCCGGTGGGCTGGGCTCCGAGAGGGGCGGTTCCCCAGACAGAGTCTCGTGCTCTGGGCCTCCTGGGGTGGGTTTGCGCAGGCGCACTGGCGGCCCCTCCCACGCTGGGAGGCGGAGCGTGGTGAGCGAACATTCCCTGGGCGGCGGTGGCGGTGGTGGAAGCTGCAGCAGCAGCAGCAGTGGAGACAAAGGACAGGCCACATGGACTCCAAGGGCGAGGGCGCTGGTGGTGGCAGCAAAAAGGGCTCGGTGGACAACAGCCAAGGTGCTTCTGGCGGCCCCGAGAGCGGGGATGTGGCCGAGGGCGCAGTGGCTCAGACCCAGGGTCCCCGGCCTGCCCTGGTGCCCGGTGGTGAACAGGCTCCAGGTGCGGCACCTGGAAGAATCCTTTTGATTGAGTTGTATCCTTTCTCTGGGCTCGGCGCCCTGGGGGGGGAGGGGGCGGCAGGGCGGGAAGATGGGGCTTGGGGCAGTCACATCCAGCCACGTGGCCCCTTAACATCGATCCAGCATCTTGACCGTGCCTTTCCAGTCCTGCACAGAGGCCGACATCGCCCGCAGGACCCTCCTCCCAGTGGCCGAGCGCCTGGTTGGGGTGGTCGGCAAGGATGTCACGGTGAACGGCAGGGACCTGACTGTGTGAGTTTGCTGGGGGCCGTGCACGCAGGGTCATGTGGTGGGGGGCAGTGAGGCCAGGCTCTAACCCTTTTCCCCTCCCCTGTAGTCACCTGACTGCAGATGACTCCAGCAGGCTGCACATTGCTATTGCCACCATGGTCAGCCACCTCCACCAGCTCGTTCAGGCTATGCAGAACCACTGGTACAGTTGTCTCAGGAACCTGTGGTCCCGCAAGGACGGCTGAGCCTCTCTGTGCTGTCCCTCGCTGTTCTGTCCCTCTGAGGCTGGAGGTGGAAGGGTGGGTCGTAACTCTGTCCAGCACAAAATAAACGTGAGCTTCCTCTCTTCTGAGTCAGGCTCCCTTTTCTGTTGTGTCGCATCCAGAGCACCCTGCCTTGGGCCCTCGGGGCAGGGGGTGGGCCTGGGGCACAGGGAAATGGGACAGAAGACCGCTGGAGACATGCACTACGATGACTGTCACACCCAGGTGTGCCCCTCCATTCAGCGTTCCCTGAACAGTCTTCCCGAGCCGGCATCATCTGGAAGTGAGGGTTTGGTTGGTCTTGGTCAGCATTCAGGGAAACCCACACTTGGGAATATTTGCTCTCTCAGATCTACAGTCCCATCCTTGGAGCCCGGGTGACGGGGTGGCTTAGGACCCGGGCTGCTGACCACAAGATGCATAGTGTGGATTACCAAGCAGCCTCTCTGGGGAAGGAAGATGAGGCTGCCTGCCTGGGCCATGATCGACAGCCTAGGAACCCCACCGGGGCAAGTCCAGGCTGGCAGAGAGGATCCCTCGGAGGCTGTATTAGTCTGGGTCGACTAGAGAAACAAATTTACAGACACATGTGTATAGGAAAGAGCTTTATATACAAGAGCAGTAAATATTGAGAAAACTCCAAATCCAGTCCAGTTCCGATATTACCTCGCATGTCCAATACCAATCTATAAAGTCCTCTTCAAACTCCCGAAACACATGCAATGATGCTGGATGCAGGAAGATCACAGCCCAGTGGGTGGGAAATCTTGGTGGATTCAGTGGTGTAAAAATCTCAGTGCTGGCAGGCATCTCCACATGGCTTCTCCAACTCAGGGCACTATTCTAGTTGCATGTGTCTTTTCACTAAAGAGAGACTAAGGAGTCCCTCAGGGAGTGAGTAAAGAGAGTCTCCTGCCTCCAAGGAGGAAATCCAGGAGTTCCCAGAATGCTCCGGTGAAGGCCATGTCCACATAGAGGCCCCGTGGGCTATATTCTGATTGACAGGCTAGACTCCACCCCTACACTCTTAATCCTCAAATTGACACCAGATTATGTAACTACGCAGAGGCCCTGGGACTGGGAACTACTCAATGGTGGAGAAACCAGAGACTTCTGACCACAACGTAGGCGTTTTGAACCCACTGGCCGCTCTGAGTCATAAAACAGAGGCTTTCTGCTCCTGTGATGATGAATAGCCTGGGAAACCCACAGGGAAAGGGCCATGGTGTGAGAGGGATCCTAGGAGTCAGTCTTGACCCCGTTGCCACTGAATCATGCCTGGTGGCACTGTTGGGTCAACATGGCACTGCCAACCCCTTGGCTGCCAGTGCGAACCTAAGAGATGCTCCCTGGCAGGAAGATGGGGGCATTCAGACCCAACAGCGAGCCTACGTGAGGTATCTGACTCTGTAAGCCTTCAGGGGAACAGACAGTCTCATCCTAGTTTGAACCACTGTCCTTCAAGAACACCCCTTCCCTCTCCCCAGGGCTTACCCGCGAGCCCCTCCAAGGCTTCTTTTCAGCCTTGGAGGTCTGAAATAGACACGGTGGCTGTAAGCTGTAATTGTCTGGAAGGCAGGGGGTTTTCATGTAAAAGCACCAGTCCCTCTACTGGATCATGATGTAAGGGTGTCTGCTGCCCTAAAGATTCCCAGCCAGAGAAACCCCCAGGAGCAGGTGCCTCTGTCACTAGAAGGGTCACCAGACGTTGGAGTCTCCTTGATGGCCCCGCACTGATGAGGCGGAGTGGACCTGAAGACAGGGGGTTTGGGTAGGTTGATCTATGCGTTACATGCATAGCAGTGACTCATCATGTAGAAAAATGAAGAAAGACGTTTACCTCACCCCATTGTTCATATTTCCACGGGAGGAGAGAGACCAGGCTTCAGTCCAATGTGCCAAGATGTGAATACAACATACTGGCATGTACCAGAGAACCAATAGAGAGGTCCCTGGGGCTGGCCCCAATCCCGACTATGTGGAAACCACTCCCCCCTCCTCAGAAGTATGCACTTGAGAGGACAGCACGGGTAGTACAGATTGGGAGAGGGGCTCATCGGATAAGAGCACACAGATTACATTTCAGGATCAGAGATGCTCGGCAGGTGGTCCTTTGGTCAGGACAGCTCTTCTCAGCCATGCCCACATGCAGACAACTCTCTGGTCCATGCCCTATGCCCTGATGGCCAATGTTACACAGCTCTTTTAGCACTGCTGACCAATGCCCAAAGGGCACAGCCCACAGCCCAAGGTGCTCAGCTCTAGTTTCCTGGTGCAGCAGGCCTAGCTTCCCCACCTAAGTGTCTGCACACACCCCACCCCGCGAGCCAGCTTTCTGCCTGAAATCACTCAGCTTTGCCTGCCCCATGCACCAGGAATCTCCCTGCCATCTTCACGCTCCGGCTCCTGGCTCTGCTGCTGCCACTCCTTTGCCACTTCTCTGTGGTCACAGCAGGCCCTGCTGGATTAAGCTGGTTCAGCGTGCAGGGATTCCCCAGGACCTTAGGAGACACTTCACTCTGGGTTCTTTTCCTTGATTGTCATGAAACAGCCCCTTTCTTGCTTCTGAGATGACTCATCTTATACCAAGAGGGACGGCAACGTTGGCAAGTGGCTACGTTAGCTTTACGTTTTTGTGATCACAGTGAACCCGTTTAATTAGGTCATAGGATCCACTCCGCACCCCTGCCGCCACCTTCTCTGCACCACACGCACCAGGAAAAGAGGACACACCCAGTCCGCCTGCTCCCACCCACTTGTTTGCCTGGAGTCAGGAAGACTATGCCTAAGACAGCCATACCAAGTAACACACTGCAGCACAATAGGCCCATCTATCATTGGGCTAGATGGAGAACTTTAGGCCTTGCGTTCACATCAAAAGCTTTCCTGCCTTGGCTGCAATAGTGAACTTTCAAGGCAATGTGAACTATCCAATGTATGGTAAGAGTTGCTCTGCTCGGGCCTTCATACGGTTTCCCTCCATTCGAATGCTTGACGTCCAATGTCTTCTGAAGGCTCCCTGCAGGTTGTGCCACTCGGCACAGTTGTGGGGGCTGTGGGAGCACTAGAGTCTGCCCACTCTCCTCTGGGCTGCTGGAAGTCGCTGATGCTCCTTCAAGCTCACGCGAGGGCCTAGGAGGAGTAGTGCGCTGGCCTGGGGGTGACATCTTTGAAGGTGGATTGCCTGGCAGAAGCACGACCAACTCACAGCAAAGGGACACTCACTGCTCCCTGGGCTCCCGGCTAGCGGGCACTGGTGGCGCAATGAGCTTAAGCGCAGGGTCACAAATGACAAGGTGGTCAGTGGATCCCCACCAGCCACTGAGTGGGAGGAAGATGAGGCTATCTGTTTCGTAGGGACTCCAAGTCTCAGAAATCATACTGAGCAGGGAAGTCACCTGTGATGCTCTTCTCTGCCCACCGATCCATGAAGAGCACCCCCTTTGAGGACTTCTCAGGGCTGCAGGGTGCTCCTCAGACAAGTCTACACTCGGGAACGAACAACAAGGAACTGGGAATCGGATGGAGGAGAGGCTCTGTGGGGGCAGAAGGG